TTTCCGATCTCTCGTTTCCTTCACTCTACACCATTATTAGTTCAGACTTCCGGCAACTTTGTGGGCCAAAATGTTTTGAGCTGAAGAATGCAATGCCGAGTTCAATTATAACAGAAATCAAAAGTGTTAAATTCTCATCCATTTCTTTCAGACTCTCTGCTGAAGGATGGAGGAAATGTGACCGGGTGATGTCTTTAACCGACTGTCCTTAAGCAAGCAGTCATGGTAGATGTTGGAAAGTGGCCTGTGTTCAGCTTGCTTTCTCCACAGGAAATTAAATCGATTCATCAAGCCTGTGTCTTTGGTACTTCAGCAACTGAGGCAATCTACGTCACAAAAAATGACGAAGTAAGTCTTGGGATGACTTTTTATCTTTGGGGTATTCCCTTTCAAAAAAGACCACAAAAAGAAACCGAAAGAGCTGCAGGTGATGTAAATCAGAAACAAAAGCAGAAATTACTGGAAAAACTCAGCAGGTCTGGCAGCATCTGTGGAGAGAAGTTGGAGTTAACCTTACTTTTTCCATTTTAATATTTTTTTGTCAGTTCATTAAGTTTCAGTTCTGTTAGTGCTTTCATTTTATTTTGTACTGCTTAATATTCACCCCCTTCTTGAATCCTATGTTTTCTTTCTTTTCCATTATTTTTCTTTTAATCCTCTAATTTTATCCTCAATCTTGTATCATACTACAGAATTATAAACATAAATAAGCCTTGCACCCGAAGAACAGGCCATTGATGTTCCATTTTCTGATGAAGGGTCTAGGCCCAAAACGTCAGCCTTTCTGCTCCTATGATGCTGCTTGGCCTGCTGTGTTCATCCAGCTCTGCACCTTGTTGTCTCGAGGTTCCATGCAAGCCTCTTTTTGCCCACCTTCATCTAATGCTAAGAACATTTCTTTCTATTCCCTTCTTACTAATAGTTATTTAACTGCCCATTGATTGTATGTCTGCTGTTTGCTTCATTTGCTCCCTACGGAAGCATATTCTAAACACTGAACACTCCTTGAGTTAAAAAAGGTTCTTCTGAAGTTCCCAGTTTGATTTATTAGTACCCCTTTTATAATTTATGACCCTAGCTTAGGACTTGTCTAGAAGTAGAAACGTCTCAAGTCTACCTTGTCAAACTCTTTGATCATCTTAATAAACCCCCACCAGATCACTTCTTCTAAAGAAAGGCCTGTTTAATATTTCCTGAAAGCTGTAATGTCAGTTCTAGTATCATTTTCGTAAATCCTTTTTTTGAACCTTCTGTATGTCTGTCGTCACAATATGGAGACCAGAGCAGTTCACAAACTCTGTGGTCTGAACAAGGTACAAAGTTAACATAATTTGTCTGCCTTTTGGTTCAATCCCTGTAAAAATAAGCCCTCGTACTTATTTTTTGGTTATTAACTTGTGTGACCAGTTTTAATTACTTGTATGTCTGTACCTCAAATCTCTCTATTCCTCTTCAAAATTTAGATATTTATTTTCCAAAAAGTGTGTGGTCTCCTCATCCTTCCGACCATGATTTGTTAACTCAGATTTTTACATTGAAGCTTATTTAAAATTACAAATCCTTTCTACAATTGTATTAATGTTCCTGTATTTTGTTGCATTCTTCATCTAATTTTCATCTGTATTAACCACACTGCCCCAAAATGTGTTCATTTAAAATTTTTAAAATTCTATTTTAATACCTGAATCCAAATTATTTGTCTAAAGTTGTAACATACAATCTGCTTGTGATAAACATATAAACTGTTTGACTATAACTTGTGTCCTGTGACTTCTGACTTTATCCACCCTAGTCCAACACTGGCATCTCCACATTATGGGAAGAAAGTTAGAGATTGGCATTAGGTAATGATGCTAATTTAACGAGCTGGAGCAAGCACGAATGGCTCCTTCTGTGCCACAACAATTCTATGATAATGTTCCCAGTACCAATTCTTGTGATACACCATTTCCCAGCTTCATTGCTCTGCAAAATGATCTTTGACCCCCACAACTCTCTCATGTTTTGCAACCAGCTTGCTATCTCCATCCTGTAACTTGTATACTGACTTCCCTGGTTTTGACCATAAACATGAATCTACATTTTGGTACTTTATTGGAGGCTTTCTGTAAATACATTTACATTTTATAAATTTTAAATATTTAACATGAAATAGGTTTAATAAGTACACATAAAAACATTTTCATGCATTAGTGGTTAGGATCTAGAATGCCCTGCTTGAGTGTGTGGTGGAGGCAGGTTCAGTTAAAGTATTCAAGAGGGAATTAGATCATTACCTGTAACTGAAGAATGCTCAGGGATATAGGAACAAGGTGGGAAAGTGACAGTCTCAATAGGCAAACTGCTCCTTCGGAAAGCAAGCATAGACCTGATGAGTCAATTTACCTCCTGTGCAGCAATCATTCTCTGATGTTTTACTGCATTACTCTTCTCTACCTTATTTGCTACTACTGCAAATAATTCGGTAAGCTTGATCAAGGATATCATTCCCTTTCAAAATCTATGCTAATTATGTATTCAGTTTCTAGGTATTTTATTAATAAAAGGTTTTCATATCTTACTTGCCACTGACGTGATGGTAATTAACCTATAATTCCCTGCATAAGTTCTGTGTAGAAATTATATTAGCTGCACGCCAGCCCTCTGCCACACTTGCTTTTCAAATGAAATTGTGTATATCAACACGCACATTGAATATAAAAATATATATATAATACTGCTACTATTAAAATGTGTGAATGCAACCCTTCTAGACTAGGGTGTTTTTCCCTCTTAATTTAAATAGTTAATCAATTTAGGAACAGTTGCCTTTGCTGCAAGAAGAGGAATTTGTGCAGCATCCATTGTGGTACTGAAGGTGCACAACAACCACTTTCAGTAAGTGATTTAAGTCGCATATCTTGACAACTAGCTCACATGGCTCACTGAACACAATCTACTTTTGTTGCAGGTGTTTGCACTTGGGGTAAATTGCAGTAACTGCCTAGGAATCGGGGATGGTCAGAATGTAGTTACACCAAAGAAAATAGAAGCTTTGTGTGGGAAGAAAATAATTTCTCTCAGTTATGGAAGTGGACCACATATTTTACTTGCAACTAAAGGTAAGCTTAAGTTCCACTGTCAGCAATTTCCATTGTATTTTGCAAGGTTATCCAGTTGGCAGTTGTGGCTCAGTTGTAGCAGTCCAATATCCTTAAACAGAAGGCTGTGGATTCAAATCCCTTTCAAAGACTTAAGTACATAACCCAGGTTGATGTTTCAGTGCAGTATTAAGAGTGTGTTGCATTGTTGGTGCTGCCTTCTGTCAAAGTTAAACTAGGTCCTCCTGGCCTCCAAAGTTAAAATTTCCCGTGGTACTACTCAAAGAACAGGGGAGTTCTCCTGGTCAGTATTTATTAACCAATGTCACTAAAACCGATTATGTGATCATTGCTGCATTACTGTTTGTGAAACTTAAACTGTACTCAAATAGACTGCATTTCAATTAGAAGATCATTTAACTGTCAAACGCTTTGAGAGATTCTGAGGTTATGACATTTGGCATTAAATCTAGCCTATGACATGAGAAATGCTGAGTCTAACACTTGGCAAGCTTGAACGTTGTTAACCTCTCACCTGAATGCATCTATTTGGAGTGATTAAAGTTGGTGTTTTTCTACAGCTGTATGAGTTTTTGTTGCATGTTAGTGCATTTGTCCAAACGTTTCTTTATCACATCGGACAGTCATCTGTAGTTGGTAGATATTTGACCAAATGGCTAATACTAAAAAAAAAACACATGCTTCAACAAATTAATGTGGTTAATTCTGAGGTGAAATCTAAACTGTCTTCTTTATCATAGCACAAAAGCGTTTAGACTTTTCTGCGAATCTAAACACCCTTTTATGTGGTGGAGTATCACCATTGTCCCTCAATCAAACTCACAAAGACAGATTATCTAATCATTATCACACTCCTGTTTGTGGAAATTTGTGCGCAAATTGGCTGCCACATTTCCTGTGATACAACAGTAATTACACTTCAGTGAATCGTAATTGACTATATAAACTGTTTTGATCATGAAAGGCTTTATAGAAATATACATTTTGCTGTCTTTTCCTCAAATAAATCCTTATAACAGTATCAGAGGTAGTAGGAACTGCAGATGCTGGAGAATCTGAGATAACAAGGTGTAGAGCTGGGTGAACACAGCAGGCCAAGCAGCATCAGAGGAGCAGGAAGGCTGACATTTCGGCCTAGACCCTTCTTCAGAAAAAAGATTTCTACACCTTGTTATCTCAGATTCTCTAGCATCTGCAGTTCCTACTAGCCCTGAGAGACATTCTTTGTCTTGTGTTGCTGCACTGATATATTTGCTTTGCCTTACATTCATCATTGCTCCAGGACTCAACTTCCAATGGAAATGGCAACCCTTTAGGTGGCACTTTGGTTTAGATTGTGTGGTGAGGAAGAGAAGAATTTTTCAGGGTAGACTCTGCTTTACATGCCTCTGAACGGATCCAGAGAAAAAATCTACTCTGCAGAAGTGAGTCTGATGCTATCTGTTTGAAATACAAAAGGTGCCTAGATTTTCAGGCAAGACCAGGATCTGTGGGTGCCATCTTAGCCTCTGGAGCTTTTTAGTCACTTCCAACAATTATGATCTTTTTCAGATGGTGAAACTTATTCCTGGGGCCTTAACAGTTATGGCCAGCTGGGCAATGGAACAACCGGTCCAGGTTCATTGCCTTTCCTTGTCTCGAGCATGTTCTATGATAAGAAAGTGATTGAAGTTGCTTGTGGCTCCAATCACTCTATGGTCCTAACAACAGAAGGCGAGGTGAGAGCTGACCTTTCTAATGCAGTCTCCATTATTTATTTGATACTTGTGATATAAATTTATCTACATTTGTTTCTCAATTGTAAAAGTTAACCCTTTTAAAGTGCCTAATGTAGTGGAAGTAGTAGAATAAAGAGCTGATTGGATTTCAGTCTTGAAGTAAATTACCTTGCACATTTGTTTTCGTTAAACCATATGGCACAGAAGGAGCTAATTCAATCCATTGTACCTGAATTTGCTCTTTGAAATGATTATGCCATTCTGCATCCTTTCCAAGACCTTGACAACCTTGGATGCCCTATTGAAAATAGTATCCCAGCATAAATTATCCTGCCTTAAAGCAATGTCAAGTCACTATCAGACATTATAGGGAACAACCTGGCTTCTTGTGTGCAAAGATTTATTTACACTGCGACCTGACAGCAGATGTAGTTATGGTCTTTCAGCCTTAGTGCTGCAAATAGGCAGTTGTTGGAGGCCACTTTTGAAAGTTCTGGGTAATTACTGTGTTGGTTCTGGGTTTTATAGATGGAGATCAATTTAGAATTTCCATTATAAAATACTTCCAAATGTGACATCACGTGTGTGCACACATGGAAACAAAGATGTTCACGCATGTACGTATAGATGAAATGTACATAAAACATCCAGATAATAGGCACGCACGTTGTAAAGTACAGGTGCACAATGAAAATGAATGAAATTTAAAATATAAATTGACCAGTCAGCTGAACATACGGTGTGCATGATTAACATGCTGTATTCTAGAAATATTTCACGTTTGTTTAAACTATCTTCTTACTCAAATACAACACAACAGTGGAGTGTACATGCATGGATAGAGCATGGAGTTAATTTCTATAAGTTAAAGAATTTCTTGATCTTTTGGAAAATTAGATCCCCAAATGTTACAGTCAATTCACACATGGCAACATAATATCCCAAGACGTTTGCATGTTTGAGAATCTGCTCTGTTTCAATTAATTCTACTTTATACTTGACAATATGACCTTTCTGTTTTTTGTGCAGTTTAAGTAACCTCCCTTCTATGCCTGCTTTGATGACAGGTCTACTCTTGGGGTCATAATAACTGTGGGCAAGTTGGATCAGGATCTACGGCAAGCCAGGCAACACCACGGAGAGTAACAAACTGTTTGCAGAACAAGAGGATTGTTGCTGTTGCTTGTGGTCAGATTTACTCCATGGCTACGTCAGATAATGGAGAGGTAATTATTTGTGGAGACCCAGTATGCTTTTTTTTCAAATTTATCTCTGGGATGTGGGGATTGCTGGCTGGCCAACATTTATTGCATATTCCTGGTTGCCCTTGAGAAGATGGTGGTGAGCTGTCTTCTTGAACCACTGCAGTCCACCTGCAGGACTTCGACCCAGCAATAGCAAAGGAACAGTGATATATTTCCAAGTCAGGATGGTGAATGGCTTGGAGGGAAACCTGAAGTTGGTGGTGTTCCCATGTGTCTGCTGCCCTTGTCCTTCTAGATGGAAGTCGTCGTGGGGTTGGAAGGTGCTGCCTGAGGATGTTTGGTGAATGTCTGCAGTGCATCTTGTAGATAGTACACACTGCTGCTACTGAGTGTCAGTGGTGGAGGGAGTGGATACTTGTGGATGTAGTACCAATCAAGTGGGCTGCTTTGTTCTGGATGGTGTCTAGCTTCTTGAGTGTTGTTGAGGCTGCACGCATCCAGGCAAGTGGGGGCTATTCCATCACACTCCTGACTTGTGCCTTGTAGATGGTGGACAGTGTTTGAGGAGTCAGGAGGTGAGTTACTCGCTACAGTACTCCTAGCCTCTGACCTGCTGTTGTAGCCACTGTGGTGAGTCCAGTTGAGTTTCTGGTCAATGATAACCCCCAGGATAATGGGGGTTCAGTGATGGTAATACCTGGCCAAACTGGAAGAAAACTGGCAATAAGGATACACGAACACCAACTAGCCACCAAGAGACACAAAATAAAAACTGAAAGAACTGCAGATGCTGTGAATCAGGAACAAATACAAAGTTGCTGGAACTGAGCAGTTTTTCTTCAAGCAGGTCTGAGGAAGGGTCACCGGACCCGAAACATTTACTCTGTTTTTTCCTTCACTGATGCTGCCAGACCTGCTGAGCTTTTCCAGCAACTTTGTTTTTGACGAAGAGACATGACCAATTCTCACTGATCTCAATGCACACGGACAAAGAAGGATATGAGTTCGATTGGGACAATACTTACATAATAGCACAAGCCAAACGGAGACATGCCAGGGAATTCCTGGAGGCCTGGCATTCCAACCGGAATTCCGTCAACAAACACGTCAAACTGGACCCAATATACAAACCACTGACGAACAAACCCGGAAGTAATACCAACCACTCCAGCAAACCAAGGCATATAAATAGCAAGCGGGACAGAACACCAACGCTTCACCAGAGGCGCACTGACAATGTTACCTAGCAGGGTGACAAAACATCTGCAATCAAACACACCGGCTGAACGAGCAAGTGTACAATCTGATGGTAACCCCTTTGAATGTCGAGGGGCAGTTGCTAGATTGTCTCTTATTGGTGATGATCATAACCTGGTGTTCGTGTGGCACGAATGTTACTTGCCACTTGTCAGCCCAAGCCTGGATATTGTCCAGATCTTGTTGCATTTGAACATGGACTGCTTCAGTATCTGAGGAGTTGCGAATGGTGCTGAACATTGTGCAATCATCGGCAAACATCCCCACTTCTGACCTTATGATGGAAGGAAGAATATTTTGAAACAGCTGAAGATGTTTGGGCCTAGGACACTACTCTGACGAACTCCTGCAGAGATGTCCTGGACCTTTGATGACTGACATCCAATGACCACAGGCATCTTCCTATGTCTCAGGTATGACTCCAACTAGCGGAGAGTTTGCTCCCTGATATCCACTGATTCCGGGTTTTGCTAGGACTCATTAATGCCACACTCGGTCGAATGCAGGTATGATGTTGAGGCTGTCACTCCCACCTCACCTCTGGAATTCACCTCTTTTGTCCATGTTTGGACCAAGGCTGTAATGAGATCAGGAGGTGAGTGGTCCTGGCGGAACCCAAGCTGAGCATTACTGAACAGATTATTGCTGAGCAGATGCTGCATGATAGTGTTGTTGATGACCCTTCCATCACTTTACTGATGATCAAGAGTAGATTGATGGGATGGTAATTGTCTAGGTTGGATTTGCCTTGCTTTTTATATACAGGACACACAGGGCAATTTTCCACGTTGCTGGGTAGATACCAGTGTTGTAACTGTACTGGAAGAGCTTGACTAGGGGAGCAGCAAGTTCTGGAGCACAAATCTTTAGTACTATTGCTGGAATGTTGTCAGGGCCCGTAGCCTTTGCAGTATCCAGTGCCTCCAACCGTTTCTTGATATCACGTGGAGTGAATCAAATTGGCTGAAGACTGGTATCTGTAATGCTGGAGACAGCTTAAGGCACTTCTGGCTGAAGATTGAAGCTTCAGCATTATCTTTTGCACTGATGTGCTGGGCTCATCCATTGTTGAGGTTAGGGATATTTGTGGATCCACCTCCTCCAGTGAGTTGTTTAATTGTCCACCACCATTCATGACTGGATGTAGCAGGACTGCAGAGCTCAGATCTGCTCCGTTGGTTGTGGGATCACTTGGCTCTGTCTAACACTTGCTGCTTTTGCTGTTTGGCGTGCAAGTAGTACTCTTTGGCTTCACCAGATTGACACCTCATCTTCAGGTATGCCTCGTGCTGCTCCTGGCATACCCTCCTGTACTCTCCGTTGAACCAGAGTTGATCCGCTGGCTTGATGGTAATGGTTGAGTGGGGGATATGTCGGGCCATGAGGTTACAGATTGTGCTGGAGTACAATTCTGCTGCTGTTGATGGCCCAAAGCACCTCATGGATGCCCAGTCTTGAGTTGTCAAATCTGTGCGAAGTCTGTCCCATTTGGCACGGTGATAGTGCCACACAACATGATGAAGGTTATTCTCAATGTGAAGATGGGACTTCATCTCCACAAGGACTGTACAGTGGTCAGTCTTACTGATACTGTCATGGACAGATGCATTTGCAGCTGGTAGATTGGTAAGGATGAGGTCAAGTATGTTTTTCCCTCTTGTTGGTTCCCTCACCACCTGCCGCAGACCCAGTCTAGCGACTATGACTTTAGGAGCGAACAGCTCAATCAGTAGTACTGCTCCTGAGCCACTGTTGGTGGTGGAGGTTGAAATCCTCCCCCCAGAGTACATTTTGTGCCCTTGCAATCCTCAGTGCTTCCTCTAAGTGTTGTTCATCATGGAGGAGTACTGATTCATTAGCTGAGGGAGGACAGTACGTGGTAATCATGCAACGTAACATTATGTTGTCTTGCATATGTTACTAGAAGAGTGATGAGGGCACTGCAGTGATGTGAAAATGTTGCCTCATACTGATATTATCCTGATCAAATTTGGATCAGCAAAATTAACAATAGTTTTTCTGCAGGCTTAGTCCATGATAATGCTGATGATAACCATGGATGAAGAGCAGCCCAGTTTTTAAAAACTCTTTACAAGTATGATGGGGTTTTTATTTCCAGTTAAAGCTTTAATTTGCTTCAAAGCCCCTTGTCCTGATTTGCATCTGGGTAACCGGGTGAGAAAATGGCAGGAGCAGGTTTGTATTTGGTGGAACACAAAATTATCTGGGTTAATATGCGGCACAGAACAGTAAGTAAGATTGTGCAAGTTGTGAATTCAAGTCCATCATTGGAAGCTGGAGCACAAAATCAAGGCTTGTCACCTCAGTGGAGCTCTAAGGACGTGCTACAATGTTGGAGCCACTGTTTTTGAGGTGAGACATTAAATCGAGGCCCTTCTTTCTATCTCAGAAATGCATAAAAGGTCTCATGGCACTACTCCAAAAAGAGCAAGGGTGTTTTGTCTAGTGTCACAGGACTCAAGAATGTGCTGTTCGGCCCACAATGTTGTGCTGAACATCACGCCAAATTAAACTAATCCCTTCTGCCTGCCCTTGGTCCATATCCCTCCATTCCTTGCATGTTCATGTGCTTATCTAAAAGTCTCTTAAACAGCCCTATCATATCTGCGTCTACCACCACCCCTGGCAGCATGTTTCTCGTTAAGTGTAAAAAAAAACACTTGTCCCTAACATCTCTTTTGAACTTGTCTCTTTTCACCTTAAATGCATACCCCCTAGTATTAGACATTTCAACTCTGGAGGAAAAAGGTTCTGACTGTCAACCCTATCTCTGCATCTCATAATTTTATAGACTTTTATCAAGTCTCTTCTCAGCTTCCGCCACTCCAGAGAAAACAACCTGAGTTTTTCTAGCCTCTCCTTATTGCTCATACTCTAATCTAGGCAGCATCGTGGTATACCACTTTTGCACCCTTTCCAAAGCCTCCACATCCTTCTGTAATGTGGCAACCAGAATTGAACGCAATACTCTAAGTGTGGCCTAACCAAAGTCTTATAAAGCTGCAACATGACATTCTGACACTTGTTATTCAATTCCCCGACCAATAAAGGTAAACATGCCATAGGCCTTCTTTACCACCCTATCTACTTGCGTGGCCACTTTCAGGGAGCTATGGAATTGAACCCCAAGATCCTTTTCTACATCAATGCTGTTAAGGGTCCTGCAATTAACTCTATACTTTTCCTTAGCATTTGATCTCTCAAAGTGCAGCACCTCACACTTACCCGGATTAAACTCCATCTGCCATTTCCCTGCCCATATTTGCAATTGATCTATATCCCGCTGTATCCTTTGACAACTTTCTACACTATCCACAACTCCACCGATCGTTGTATTGTCTACAAATTTACTAACCCACACATCTACATTTTCTAATGTCCTGGCTAGTATTTTACCGATTCACCATCAAACACAGATTACTGGTCATTAACGCATCACTATTTGTGAGCTCTTGTTGTCCACAAATTGGCTGTAGTGTCTCCATCCATGCAAAACTGATTGAATATGTTGGCTGTAAAGCAGTTTGCGACATCCTGAGGTCATGAAAGCACTACATAAATGAAAGTCTGTGTTTTTGAAGTTGTTGAAGGGTACTGGTGTCTTAGAAATTGTAATCAGGGCACTTGAGTGGTTTATCAATGAAATTTTGCACTTTGATTGCAATTGACCACTTTGCACAGGTTTGCATTGTGGGTAAGAAAAATGCTCACAATTGCCTGGTAACTCTGGGTCTTGCATTGTGATGACACTGAAGGTAAATATATTTGAAGTTAAAAAACCTCCTCCTGAATTTAGATTTAAATGCAAAGGGGGAAACTCTGCCCCTTCTTATGGCTGAATTAATGCTGGAAGATTGTTGCAAAGATTGCACTATATTGTGACTTTGGTTTATTGACTATGCATTGAACTCCTGTTAATCTCAGTGTTAACATAAAGCTGTGAACTCAAGAGTCAGAAGGTTGTGGGTTCAAACCTCACTTGGCTTCTTTAGTCCCTGTGGCGCAGTGCTGAGGGAGATCTTCCAGTATCCTGATCAACATTCATTCTTTTGACAACCTCTACCAGAACCAAATTAACCATTCATTTGTCTAGTGGTCTGTTTTTGTGGAAACTGTGAATTGTATAAATGCCACTTCTGAGTGGTGCAAGGAACATACATGTGCAAAGAGAGAGGCAGAGAATGATACTCATGAACAGGGAAGCTCCTTCCACTGTTTAGGGTTAACCTAGAGCCCAGTAATTTCCTTTTTGGGGTTTGAGGCCACTACTACATGCTTATAAAGCCTCCTCGCCCACACCACTGCCTCTGTTATCCTCCTATAGCGGACCCTTTCTGACAGATTGAGGAGTTAAAATAACTGTGTCGCTGTAACTGTAGCACCACATTGCATATTTCGCCAATGTGTATGTTTCATTTATAAGCCACCACTCCACTTGTTCAAGTGGCTCCTGCAGTGAGGATAAGGTGTATTTTGTTTCCTTGAGAATGCTGGGTAAAAATCCAGCCATCAAAAGGCTAAGGTAGCCCAGGGGTTTAGTTGTCGCTTTTAAAAACTAATTTATGTAAAATAAAGGTATGGCAGGTCTGTGTCTGCACTGGCATCACTACATATGTAGTGTGGTGACGGCAGTTGTGCATGTGTGGCTTGTTACAACCAGTGACATCACCAGCCCTGTCTGCACGTGTGCTGGTATTCAGAGTAATCACTCCATTTTGTGGGAATTTACTATGTGAAAATTGGCTCCTGAATTTCCCTACAAAATAACAATGGCTGCACTTAAAAATAAATTACACTGAATAGCTTTGGAATGACCTCAGATTACAAAAGGCATTTTCACTCTCTGCAGAAATCACTGAAACTTCACTGCTGTTGTAACAGTCAGCGTGGGTCAGAACATAGGAGCAGTGCTATTAGGTGTGGTTGTTCATCTCCTCCTGCATGCTTAACACCTACAGACTATTTACCAGAATGAAATCAAATTAATTGTCATATGTCCTTTCAAAATTACTCCTTCAAGTGGTCATTTGTCTGTTGTCACTTAAATTTGTTGTTTGAGATTGAGGTTGTAACAAGCCACACATGCACAACTGCTGTCACCACACTACATATGTAGTGATGCCAGTGCAGACACAGACCTGCCATACCTTTATTTTACATAAATAAGTTTTTAATAGAGTCATAGAGTTATACAGCACAGAAACAGAACCTTCGGTCCAACTCGTCCATGCTGACCAGATATCCTAAACTGATCTAGTCCCATTTGCTAGCATTTGGCCCATATCCCTCTAAATCCTTCCTGTTCATGTACCCATCCAGATGCCTTTTAAATGTTGTAATTGTACCTGCCTTCACTTCCTCTGGCAGCTCATTCCATACACGCGCCACACTCTGCTTGAAAAAGTTTCCCCTCAGGTCCCTTTTAAATCTTTCTCCTCTCACCTTAAACTTAAGCCCTCTGGTTTTGGACTCCCTACCCTATCACCCTATCCATGATTCTGTAAGTCTCTATAATGTCACTCCCAGCCTCTGATGCTACAGGGAAAAAAAGTCCCAGCCTATTCAGCCTTTCTCTATAGCTCAAACCTTCCAATCCCAGCAGCATCCTTGTAAATTTACAACCTTCTGGACTTAATATTGAGTTCAACATCTTCAGATTGTGAAGCCATTCCCATTCCTTTCCTTTTAGCTTTACTTGTTCTATCCTCTGTCATTGTGTCCTCTCTCCCTTCTCCCCACTCCAGTTCTTTTCAGTTTGGCAGGTAGACACCATTGTTCCGCCATTGTCATATTCCGATCACTGAATCTGCTCTATTAACGTCCTTTCTCCCCCATCACTTCAACTGCTCCCTCCTCCCCATGACTATTGCATAAATGCTGCCCCCTCCGCACTTCATGTCAGTTCTGATGAAGAGTCATCTAGAAACAAAACATTGCATAGATGCTGCCTGACCCACTGTGATTTCCAGCATTTTTTGTTTTCAGTATAGATTGCAGCATCTGGAGTAATTTGCTCCTTCCTTGTAAATCTTTTCTGAACCCTTCACTGGTTAGCCGTAAGACCATAGAAGTGTAAGAAATAGGAACAAGAATTTGGCCCATTGAGTCTGCTCTGTCATTCAATAGGAATGTAATCTTGATTCCCCATCCTGATCTGAAATCTATATCTCAGCCTTAAATACACACAAGGCTTCTGCCCCCACAGCTTTCTGTGGGAAGGAATTCCAAAGAGACTCAACTATCGGAGAGGAGAAATTCCTCCTCATCTCAGTCTTAAGTTGATGTTTCTTTATTCCGAGATGATGTCCTCTGTTCCTAGACTCTCCTATTTAACCTGTCAAGACCTTTAAGAAGATTTTATGTTTCAAACAGATACATGGTGGGAGGAGTTAAGTTGGGATTGATTTCCTATTCAGAGGATGTGAGTGTCGCTGCATGGGCCAGCATTTATTACCCAATGCCTAGTTGCTCTTGAACAGTAAATTCCATAGATATGCTCAAAAATGAGGGTAGTTTGAGAGAAACTTGTTGCACGGCAGGAAAGTCGGTTACCAGAGGTGATAAGTTTAAGGTAATTCAGAGAAGAGCGATAGCAATGTTTCCTTTACTCCACGTGCTGTCGTTTACCAGAATTCACAGTCTGAAGTGTGGTAGAAACAGATTCAATAGTAATATTCAAGAGGTAACTGGATATAAACTTGAAAAGAAAGAAGAAAGCGCTCTGAGCAAAGTGTAGGTGGAGTGGAAGTAATGGATTCTTTTTCAAAGACCAAGCTCTGACACAATGAGCTGAATGACTTCCTTGAATACTATCTGATTCTTATGTTTGTTTTCCATGTCTAGGTGTACAGTTGGGGTTACAATGGCAGTGGTCAACTGGGAACAGGAATCAGTGGAAACCACCTTACTCCTTGCAGAGTGACTGGGCTACAAGGAATTTGTGTCCTTCAGGTAAATATCCTTGTACAACCGCTCTTGACCCATCACCACCTGCTTTGTTAATTTATGTAAAGCTGATTCCTTTATTGTCTGTTAGATACATTATATTAGACAGTTATGAACCTGCCTGAAAGAGTAGTTGTGCATTGTTAAATATTGAATAGTGATTTAAAATTACCTAGCAGATTTTTAAAAGTGAATTCATATACAACCCTGTCATAAAGACAACTTTACAAATTAGCAAGTGGGCAAAATGAATCAATGCAATTTTATTTTTCTAAATACAAGGTTAAGCACTGTGTGTAGTTTGAAAGCATTTTGGTATTCCAATGATGCTTGTTTCAATAAGCTAGTTTACTGCGCAGCAGTACATAAGTATGCAACCTTGGTAATCACATCATACATTAATGGTAACATAGTGGTAATGTTACTAGACTAGTAACTCAGAGCTCCATACCAATTGTGTAGTGGCATGGGCTCAAATCCTATCTGGCAGCTGAAGGAATTTAAATGAACTTGATGAATTTGGAATTAAATGCTAGTCTCATTAATAATCACAAAATTACTGGTTCACTAATGTCCTTAAGACAAAGCAATCTGTAGTCCTTACTGAATATGGCCTATATTTGATTGCAGATCTATAATAATGTAGTTGACTGTAACTGTTTTCGGCATGACCTGAACTGAATGGTTTTATAGGTCAATAACTAGAGAAGGGAACAACGAATGCTGGATTTGCCAGTGGTGCTCACACCCAAAGAACCAACACCTATATAGGGGGAACGAAAGGCAGATGGCGGAAAGTTGTAATAAAAACAGAATGCTGGAGAAACAAAGAAGCACACAGTCAACGTTTTGAGTCCAAAAAGAAAAAGGACTATGAATTGAAGTTGTATAGTCTGCAGTTTACTGAGAATTTGTTTGTGGAAGTAGATGGTGGATCTCATTTGTTGGAAACCAGATTGCACTGCAAAAAGATTGCTTTGAATAAATGTTGAATAACAAGATACTCACTGCAGCTATCCTGGCATAGGATGTTTTTTGAGAATCAAAAATTATAACTACTGTTCATTAAGTTTAACTTAAATTTTCATCCCAGAGAGCACTTCTATAACTTAAAGACAAATGCAACAGATGACTGGAAACAAAATTATTAATGAACATTTCATTTGATTAATTAAGGGGGAGCTAAATGAGTGCATAGAGCTTGGCCTGTATCTTCTGGAGCTTAAAAGCATCAGAAGTGACTTAATTGAAACATAGAAGATCCTGAGGGAAAACAAAACTTGGCATGAAACCTCATTGAGGTGATGTTTTAATATGCATTCTGCCTTTTCCTTTGTTTTTCCAGATGTAGAATTTAAGGAAGTGGTGGTAGAAGTCCAAGGGTGACAAAAAAGTCTACTAAAGGATTTTGGTCACAGGAAAGTAATGAGGTTGTGTAGGTGGAAAAGAACAGTTGGTGCTGGTGCTGTTGGTAAAATTTGAACAAACTTTGCAGGGAGTGCTGGGGTAAATTCTTAAGTATAAAAAACATTGAGAGAGATAATAAAGTAGGAGGCATTAATATTAGGTAGATTCATCATAAATGGCAAAGTAATAAAGTGCAAATTTGAGTAACACCATGCAAATGTGCGATTGTGAATAATAAGATTATCCGTGTCTGTAACTCACTAATCACATGGAAGTATGATGTGGGTTCATGGAAACCTGACTCAGCGAAGAGTACAACTGGGTACTAAATATTCTTTGATAAAAGTGCTCAGGAAAGGAGAATCGTTGGCAATATTGATTTAAGGAAAGCATTGCAATGGAGAGAAACAATGTGCCAGTGTGGTCAAGAACAGAATCTTTTCGGTTAGGGGTAAAGAACAAAGAACTGGTGCAATTACATTGCTTGGTATAGTTATAGTTTACCAATTAGAAGGAAAGATACAGAGGAACAAAATTGTAAGCAAATTAAATTATTCTTTTTCTAAATATAGACACTTTAAAGAGCAAAGAAGGGTAAATGTTGTTTCCAAGATTTTCTTTATTCAGTTAATGTTCAATTTTAATGTCTTTATAGCAATGAGAAAGAAAATGCTGCTCAACCTGATTCTTGGGAATAGGTTGGACCAGAATAATCTGGTGACAGTGGGGCACATTTTGGGACAATGATAAATTTATCATGAACTTTAGGTTGACAGTGGAAAAGGACAAGGAGCAATCCAGCAAAAGAATCATCAATTTGACAAAAAGCCAACTTCAGTAGCATTAGAATGAATCTCACTTGGATAAATTGGATTCAAAGATTAGCAGAAAAAAATCAAGATCGAACAATTGCCTTTAAAGTACAGGTGAAGTCCACTCCAAGAAAGGGGAAAGATCGGGCAACAAATCCCGAATCCTCTTTGTAAGTGTGCTCATGACAGCTGCTGGGTTAATACAGTTATGAACCAGGTCAAATAAAAAGAGTTCAGTGTGGAATTGAGAAAGCAAATAAGAAAAGCTAAGAGAGAGCATGACATATTAACTTAAACACCAGTCATTGATCCTTTCAATCATGCTTTCTCGTTGGGAGAATAATGTTAAATGAAATCTGATGGTTTGAATATTTTTTCAGCAGTTATCATTGTTGTCATGAGATCAGTATCTGTGTGGTAACAAGTTTATATATGCTTCTTATCTCTCAAACCACTGAGCAATACTAAATTTTTCTAATTAAATGATGTTTTAGCATTTATCATGGCTGATGAATGTTATTCCACTTCCAGATTGTCTGTGGTTCTGCTCACACACTCGCACTAACAGATGAGGGCTTGCTATATGCCTGGGGAGCAAATACATCTGGACAGCTGGGTATTGGAAATAAAATCAATCAGCTGGTTCCAGTACTGATCACTGTGGAGAAAGAAAGGTACTGTTGTTTTTTTTTAAACTAACAATTAACAATTAGTTGACTTTGTACATTCACCTGTCTCTATGTAACAGGACTGTCCAGGAAACTAACTCTTCCTTGCTGCTTGACAAACAAGCAGTTGGCATTGGCAGAAGGTTGGGGTGGTAGTGGTGATGTTGGTGTGAAGAGGAAGGGCAAAATTCTCTAACTCAGCATCTTCAAATATCTGCAAAAGTCTTGCCATAGTTTCAAAGTGTCAGCAGAGGAATGTTGGCACAATGGCCTCTTTCTGTGATTCTAAATTGAATTGAACAGTTATTGTAGAATCCCTACAGTGCAGAAAGAGGCCATTCAATTCATCGAATGTGCACACATCCTCCAAAGAGCATCCTTCCCAGACCCAGCTTGCTGCCCTATCCCCATAATCCCGCATTCTACCATAGCTAATCCATCTAGCTTGCACATCCCTAGTTGCTATGGCAAATTTAGCATGGCCAATCACCTAATCTGCACATCTTTGTATTATGGGAAGAAACTGGAGCACCAGGCGGAAACCCATGCAGACATGGGGAGAACATGGGAACTACACGCAGACAGTCACCTGAGGCAGCAGGGCTAACCACTGAGCCACTGTGCCATCCCTAAAGTCTTGCCGGAAGCCATCACGTTTAGTCAGTTTGGGGCTTGAACCCATTACCTTCACGTTATTAGCACGTGTGGTTCAAATAACTACAATAACTGTGCTCTAATTATCTGAGCTGTTGATCTTTATTATAATCAATGTACTGTCTCTTCAGCGATGTGCCCAATGACTAATTGTTATATGTACACCAGTTTGTACTAAGCATCCAACTCATTCAGTATGTGGGAAGGCCAGAGTGCCTGGAGTTGAAAGATTTCTCTCTTTGTCCGTCTCATATTTCAGTTAGTTTCAGCAATCACATTGTAGAGGTTGTCCACTTAGCCTTTGAACCACACACGCTGCAAGAGTCCCAAGCAGTGGGAGTGAGTGCCTTTTCAGCATTTGTATAGAGTCAAATAAAGCAAAGAGGAGGCCATTTGGTGCATTGTACCTGCGATGGCTTTTTGAAAAAGCTATCCAATTAGTCCTACTCCTGTCTTCTTTAGGAATAGCCAAGGCGATTTTTCAAATATATATCTATCTCTTCTTGAAGGTTACCATTGTATCACCTTCCATCATCTTTTAGTACAATTCAAGTAATTTCAACTTGCTGCATAAGAATTCCCATCTCCTTTCTAGTTCCTTTGCCAGTTACTTTAAATCTATACCTCTTGGTTACTGCTCCATCCACCACTGCAATCAGTTTCTTCTCATTTGCTTGATAAAAACCTGCCTAATATTGATCAATGTATTCTCCTTAAGTTTCCTGTAACCTTCTATAAATTGAAAACTGGAATTAATTCTCAGTTTAATTAACATTACTCTATTTAATGTTTGTTTGTTTATTATCTTATTTATTTTGCTGAAAGGCAGTGAATTAACTAAGTCTCAGTCTTTATTAAACAAGCAGAACAATATCCAGAATTTTGATCAAGCAAACAGCAAATTGGAACAAGTGAAATTATTTGAGGTCTGATGTTAGGTCTTCTGGATTGCCCATCACCTACGGAAGGCCAATAAATACAATGTAACCATAGCACCCAGATCCCCTGAACAAATACAGGGTAGCTTCATAAATTGTTTTGTTTAAAATGTATTATTTTAATTGAAGGTATTTGTGTAACTTGGAAGTTATCTGTTTGATTTCCTGGAATCACCTGCTAGGAATGCTAAGTATCAACTCAAGGCAACTTTGGTGATTATGCCTCTGGCGAGATTCTGCAACCTAAACACCAGATTGCTATGATAACGGATCGAGTAAAGAGGGATCAAAACAATAGTCCCATTCTCTGGCATCGAGGACTGACCAGTTACTAGCACATTGTGTTACCTCATTGGCCTTTGAATGAAACCATGCAAGTGAGGTTGTACTGTATTTACTATTTCAAACATTCTGCTTTGCGTATGCAAGAACACACAGAAACACTTTAGCAATAATTTTTTGAAGCTCTTTCAATTCAGGAAGTCATCCTTTATACTGTAAAATTGCAAATGCAACTTCGTTATTTGAGAACAGTAAGTGAGGAAACAGAATATTACAGCCTTGCTCACCTAAAATGGGCGAATTATTGGAACCAATATTTAATGGCACAGTGACATAACTCTTGGAAAAATCTGAACTGATTGGACATAGCCAACTGAATTTATAATGGCTAATCATTTTTATTGAACCTACTTAGAGTTATGGAGGATTAAACTAGCAAAAACCCAGGTGAAATGCTAATTATTACGCACTTGAATTAGAATGAACTGATGAGTGATGCCCAATGGGATCAGCATTGAATCAAGTTGAAAGGACCTGTATAAAGAAGTGTACATACCTCCGGCAACATCGCACTACCTCGGTATCACATCGAATTGTATGCCTCTGGTTTAGCTAACATTTATGGAGTGGGATTTGAGCCCTTGATCTTGTGATGGAGAGGCAAGTGTGCTACCACTCATGGCTGATAATATACTTGCAATAATTCAGTGTGTACAATAGCACTCCTGTGACAGGAATGTTTTCTATTTGAATGGGAAAGAGAGGGAAGAGAGTTTATATTGTCACCCTCTTTTCTAAAAAAAAAGGAAGAATAATCCTCTGATAGTCAATCGTATTTTTATTTTTCTTTAGTGTTTCTACAACTGACAAATTGGAATAAAGGAAATTAATGGGAGATGAAATTGATTTTCATACATCTGGACTGTAAAGTTTATTCTTGTTTAATCTTGTCTGTCTGGATCAGTATAAATGATTACTTAAAGCGGAAACATTAATCTGGGAATTCTTCAGGAAGTGCAGTCTTCTCTTCAGTGAGTTCATGCACAATCAGTGAAACTTATTAGTGTATTTAAATACGTACATATTTTTAATTTCCTCAAATTGTCCACATCCATTTCAACCATATCTGCTGCAATAAACTTATTCGCTGAAAATATTTTGCAGAGAATATCATTGACATTTTTATCTCATTTGAGAGAGTTCTATTGAAAAGTCATTGATTTGAAACATTTACACTGCCTGTCCCCCTACAGATGTTGTTAGACCTGCTGAGTATTTCCAATACTTTCTTCTTTTTACTTCCAATTTAATGTATCTGTTGTGCTGTTTATTGTATGCTGTTATCTGTCACATGCATCTAAGTGAAATACTGTTGCCATTGTGCAAGATATGCTTTCATCAGGCGAAGTGAATTGCGTTCACCTTTGAAGTTCTTCATTTCACTTTGCCCTATTCCCTCGGAGCAAATGTGTTCTTGGACCGATCTTTCGGTCACAGTCTTGACTAAATATTGGAAGTAAATTTAGATGATTGGTAGTTCTTAAACTTGAAACCCAAGGATAACAGCATTACTTGCAATGATGTAAAGATTCTACCAATCCAGTGTTCTCTTTAAATTAGAGGTAGAGTTCAACTGCATGCTGAGAGGAACATGGTAATGTAGCCTCAACTCAACTGTAAGCACCGACTAACCCAGCAGAAAACATTTGTCTGCAACATGTTGCACTTTATCAATGTCCTGTCACCTCTCTTCCTTGATCTCTGTCTGTAGGATTGTGGAGATTGCAGCCTGCCATTCTACCCACACCTCAGCTGTGAAGACCCAGGGTGGTCAAGTTTACATGTGGGGACATTGCCGGGGCCAGCCGGTTACCATCCCACATCTCACTCACTTCTCTTGCACAGATGATGTGTTTGCCTGCTTTGCCTCTCCAGCAGTTACATGGCGCTTCCTGTCCATAGGTAAGATCATAGATCTGTGATTATGAATCAGAGATCTGTGATTGTGTACATAAAAAAAATCAAACATTTTAATTTGAAGTGTAAACTAACTGAATTATCTCTTGAACTTGCACTTATTTTTGTTCTAGAAACAATATTTTTAATTACTCTAAGGAAGTGACAACTTTGATTGGGTTAAATAGATCACAGAATCTTGCAGCAGAGAAAGAGGTTATTCGGCCTATTGTCCTTGTTAGTTGGAAGAGCTATCTAATCAGTCCTATTTTCCCCTATTGCTTACTATAGCCCTGTATTTTATTCTTCTTCTTTTTCAAGTAAATATCCAATTTGCTTTTGAAAGCTGCTGTAGAATCTGCTTCTGCACTTCATGGTGCATTCCAAACCACCAGGACTCATTACAGTAATTTTTTCTGTCTCTTTTCCCACTTTAATTCTTTTGCTAATTTTTTAAAATCTGTGTCTAATGGTTATTGACCATTTTTATCCAAATTGATTGTATTAAAAATATAATTTAAAATCAAGACAGTAGCAATTAGGTTTCAGATTTCCGTGTCTTCCTTTTCCAGTAGTTGTTTGCCCATGTTCACAATGTTTTCCCTATCCCCGTTCCATCTCCATGTAACGTAACTTTCTTTCTGAGATAAATTTTCGGAACACCTGGAAGCCCCAAAACGAGTAGTGTCTCCTCAGATTGAACCCATCAATGGCACAACTTATTTTGTTCGAGCATTTGTGTGTTCCAGAGCAATTGCTTTTACCATTTGATTTCCACTCTATAGAACAGGATGATCACCTGACTGTAGCCCAGTCTCTGCACAAGGAATTTGACAGCTTGGAAACATCAGATTTAAAGTTCTGTGTGGAAGGAAAATTCATCCATGTTCATAAAGCTGTTCTAAAAATAAGGTACTGCTTTAAAATGTTGTAAGCTAGTATTTTCTGGGAAGCAAATTCTATAAAAAATAGTTTTAGGATAAAATTAGTTTATTTCTTACACCCCAGGTGTGAACATTTTCGAACTATGTTTCAATCCTACTGGAGTGAAGATGAAAAAGAGGTGATTGAGATTGATCAGTTCAGCTATTCAGTGTATCGTGCCTTTCTAGAATACTTGTACACAGACTGTGTCAATCTTCCTCCTGAGGATGCAATAGGTACTGTGTGTAATTTGCTTCTCTTTGTTTATTCACTAATTATCTGGTTGAATGGCTTACTCCTGTTTTCCTGTTCCTGTGTAAAATTTGCACATTGCAAAATCCTGAACTGCATAGTAAATTCAAGCATGGCACCTTCCCCTGCAACCGCCAAAGGTGCAACACCTGCCCATTTACGTCCTCCGTCCCCAGTATCCAAGGGCCCAAATATAGTTTCCAGGTGAAGCAGCACTTTACCTGCACTTCCCACAATCTAATCTATTGTATTCACTGCTCACAGTGTGGTCTCCTCGACATGATTTTGATTTTGATTTTATTGTCACGTGTACTGAAATACAGTGAAAAGCTTTGTTTACAAGCGGTACAGGCAGATCACAGCAAGCAAAGGATGTACAGATTGAAAAGACTTAGAGGCATACAGGTTACATTGCAGATTACATTATTTGAGGCTAGAGTCCGTTCAACAGTCTGATAACAACTGGAAAGAAGCTGTTCCTGAACCTGCTTATGCGTGTGTTCAGGGTTCTGTATTTTCTGCCTGACAGAAGAGGTTGTAGGAAGTCATTACCAGGATGCAATGGGTCTTTGATAACGTTGGCTGCCTTGCTGTGGCAGCGAGCCGTGTAAATTGAGCCCATGGATGGAAAATTGGCTTCCGTGTTGATCAGGGCTGTGCACACCACCTTCTGCAGTTTCTTACAGTCCTAGGCAGAGCAGTTGCTGTACCAGGTTGTTACGCACTCGGTCAGTATGCTTTCAATGGTGCATCTGTAGAAGTTGGTAAGGGACCTTATGGACATACCAAATTTCCTGAGCCGCCTTTGGAAGAAGAGGCATTGTTGTGCCTTCTTGACTGTTGCATCTACGTGGGAAATCCAGGAAAGGTGGTTGGTTATTGTCACTCCAAGGAATTTGCTGCTGTCCACCCTCTCAACCTCCGTTCCGTTGATGTAAATGGGGTCGTGTTCTCTTTTCTTTCTGAAGTCAATGATCAGTTCTTTAGATTTGCCAACGTTGAGTGAGAGATTGTTTGTTTTCATGGCACCACGTCACCAAGCCCTCTATCTCCCTTCTGTATTTTGACTTGTTGTTGGATATCTGTCCCACAATGGTGGTGTCATCAGCAAACTTGTAGATGGTGCTCATTTGGAATTTGGCAACACATTCATACGTGTACAGGGAGTGCAATCGGGGGGGCTGAGGACGCATCCTTGGGGGGGCTCCAGTGTTGAGTGTTATTGTGGAGGAGGTGCAGTTACCTATCCTCACTGATTGCGGTCTATCGGTCAGAAAACCGAGGATCCAGTTGCAGAGGGCAGAGCCGAGACCAAGGTCATGCAGTTTTGAGATTAGTCTGAAGGGGATAATGGTGTTGAAGGCAAACAGGAGTCTGACATAGGTGTCTTTGTTGTCCAGATGTTCCAGAGATGAGTGCAGGACTAGGGATATGGCATCCTCTGTGGACCTGTTATGTCGGTAGGCAAAGTGGAGGGGATCAAGGCAGATTGGGAGACTGGAGTTGATGTGGGCCATGACCACCCTCACAAACCATTTCATGAGTATCGAAGTCAGAGCTATTAGGCAGTAGTCGTTAAGGCACGCTGCGTGTGCTTTCTTAGGTACGGGGATGATGGTGGTCTTTTTGAAGCAGGTGGGGACTTCAGCTTGTAGGAGGGAGAGGTTGAAGATGTCGGTGAATACCTCCGCCAGTTGATCCACATTGTGGAAACGAAGCGTAGACTGGGTAACTGCTTCACATAACATCTACGTTCTGCTCGCAAAAAAGACCCAGAGCTTCCAGTTGCCTGCCACTTTAACACACCACCCTGTTCTCTGGTCAACATCCCTGTCTCAGGCTTGCTGTAGTGTTCCATCGAAGCTCAGTGCAAGCTATAAAAGCCATGGGTACCCGCATGGGCCCAAGCTATGCCTGCCTCTTTCTGGGATATGTGGAACAATCCCTCTTCCAAAGCTAAAGGGGGTGGCCATGGGTACCCGCAATGGCCCAAGCTATGCCTGCTTCTTTGTAGGATATGTGGAACAATCCCTCTTCCAAAGCTACACTGGCCCTATCCCCCACCTCTTCCTCCGTTACATTGATGACTGTATCGGCGCTGCCTCGTGCTCCCACGAGGAGCTCGAACAGTTCATCCACTTCACTAACACCTTCCACCCCAACCTTAAGTTCACCTGGACCATCTCTGATACCTCTCTCTCCTTCCTGGACCTCTCTGTCTCCATCTCTGGCATCCACCTCGAAACTGATATCCATTTCAAACCTACCGACTCCCACAACTACCTAGAATACACTCCTCTCGCCCACCTCCAAAAAGGCCATCCCCTATTCCCAATTCCTTCGCCTCCGCCGCATCTGCTCCCGAGATGAGGCATTCCACTCACAGACATCCCAGATGTCCTCTTTTTTTCAAGGACCTCAACTACCCCTCCACAGTGATTGAAAATGCCCTCGACCGCATTTCCCGCAACTCATCCCTCACAATACCTACCCGCAATAACAACCAAAACAGAATCCCCCTGGTCCTCACGTACCATCCCACCAACCTCCGAATCCAACGCATCATCCTCTGACATTTCCGCCATCTGCAATCTGACCCCACTACCAAAGACATTTTTCCCTCCCCAACTTTATCTGCTTTCCGGATGGACCACTCTCTCCGTGACTCCCTTGTCCGCTCCACACTCCCCTCCAGCCCCACCACCCCCGGCACTTTTCCCTGCAACCGAAGCAAGTGCTACACCTGCCCCTACACCTCCCCTCTCACCCCCATCCCAGGCCCTAAGAAGACCTTCCACATCAAACAGATGTTTACCTGCACATCTGCTAATGTGGTAAACTGTATCCGCTGTTCCCGTTGTGGCTTCCTCTACATCGGGGAAACCAAGCGGAGGCTTGGGGACTGCTTTGTGGAACACCTACACCTCCCAGTCGCAAATCATTTCAGCTCCCCCTCCCACTCCTTGGACGACATGTCCATCCTGGGCCTCCTGCAGTGCCACAATGACGCCACCCGAAAGCTGCAGGAACAGTATCTCATATTTCACTTTGATACCCTTGGGCTGCAGGGTTCCCATGTGGACTTCACAAGCTTCAAAATCTCCCCTCCCCCGACCGCATCCCAAAACCAGCCCAGCTAGTCCCCGCCTCCCTAACCATTCCTCCCACCTCAAGCCCCACCCCATCTCCTACTCACTAACCTCATCCCGCCTCCTTGACCTGTCCGTCCTCCCTGGACTGACCTATCCCCTCCCTAACTCCCCACCTACACTCACCTTTACTGGGTCCATCCCCGCCTCTTTGACCTGTCTGTCTCCTCTCCATCTATCTTCTCCTTTATCCATCTTCTATCCGCCTCCCCCTCTCTCCCTATTTATTTCAGAATCCCCTTCCCCTCCTCCATTTCTGAAGAAGGGTCTTGACCCGAAACGTCAGCTTTCCTGCTCCTATGATGCTGCTTGGCCTGCTGAGTTAATCCAGCTCTACACCGTGTTATCTCAGATTCTCCAGCATCAGCAGTTCCTACTATCTCTATGCTGCTTGGCCTGCTGTGTTCATCCAGCCCTGCACCTTGTTGTCTCTATAAAAATAACACCTCATTTTCCGCTTGAGGACCCTGCAGCCCTGTGGCCTGAATGTTGAGTTCAATAATTTTAGGGCCTGAACTCTCCCACGTCTTAGCCCCCCTACCCCACACACCAGGCCTTGTTATCACATAGACTGCCATTACACATTACCTATTGTTAGTCAGTCCCCATTAACAGCTATTCACTCTCTTAGCAGATTGTTATCAACTCCTTTGTCTATCCTACTGCTGTTATCTCTCTTTGGGGTCTATCCACACCTATTATTTACCCCTCCCTCCCCCCCACCAAATTTATCATCTAATTCAACCAATTCTTCAGGGTGGATATGTTGGAAGAGATGTTGCAGTAAATCAGAAACAAAAACAGAAATTGCTGAAAAAGCTTGGCAGGTCTGGCAGCATCTGTGGAGAGAAATCAGTTAACTTTTTGGGTCAAGTGACTCTCCCTCAGAAGTGATGGTAGCCAGGAAAATTTTGGTTTATATGCAGAAGATAGGGTTATGTAGTGGAGCGTGAAACCACAACCTTTGATTTATTGTCAAGACTATTAGCAACTGACCCTCAGTACCCTGATTCTTGCAGTCTGTTTTACAGCTTATTGCAGACATTTGTCATGCTTTGTTTAAAGAAACCCCTCCAAATTACTGATCTTTTCCCTTTCTAAAGTCTGCGTACATGTTGTGACCTCCTAAATCTGTGCTCACCTTTGCTCCAACAGTTTTCCACCTTGCTATCACTGTAAAGTGACCTTCATTAAAGTCTTAAGTTAAATGTGGTGCAACTTACCCTGCTCATCCCTCTCAACAAGATTGTCTTCCTGCAATGTCTCTTCTGCTTTTTATTTACCCATCTTTTTCTATCAACCTGTTCAGTGATGTCAGTACACGTCTCTAGAGCAGCTGGGACTTGAACCTGGGCTTCCTAGTCCAGCGGTAGGGACACTACTACTGTGCTACAAGTGGGCTCCCCACAATGTCTCTTGTCCATTCTTGAGCTGTTTGGAACCAGGTAAAGGCAATCTCATTAACTACCAGTGATAGCTAGACATTCGCATGCACTGGTTTCTCTTTCTGCTCCAGCACCATCACTGATCTTTGGTCCTTTCCTATTTCTCATTAAGACGCTGGACTTTGGTGAGATCATCTGGAAAAAAATGACGTTAGATTCCACTTGCATGACCAAATGCAGTTCACTGTTTTTAAATGAACTATCCGTGAATTTAAATTTCACGTCTTTCATTGAACCATGGAATCCCTACTGGGTGGAAGCAGGCCATTCTGCCCATCAAGTCCACCAATCTACCGAAGAGCATCTCATCCAGATCCACAGTCCGACCCTATCCCTGTATTTCCCATGGCTAATCCACCTAGTCTGCACATCTTTGAACTGTGGGAGGAAACCCATGCAGACACGGGGAGAATGTGCAAACTCCATACAGACAGTCGCTCGAGGGCGGGATCGAACTCAGGTCCCTGGATCTGTGAGGCAGTCGTGCTGCCCTTTGCAAAATATTTAATTATAGTGCCTTACAGGAGATACACTGATAACTTATCAAACAATTTGTCAGTTGCAATCGTGCTAACCACTGTGCCACCATGCCATTTCCTATGTTGTTGTTCTGGATTTACCCTTTGTAACCTGTTTCGTAAAAAAAAAAAAGTATATCTTTGTCCTTAAATGTTGCTTCTTTACACTTCAGATGTTGAAATTCTTCTCCTTTAACCTTGAATGCTGCTTATGTTTGGAATTATTCTGTTTTACAGTTTCTGGAATCCAATCCAAGACTCAGAATCACAGCATGCTCCTATGTGCAGGAGGAGGCCATAAGACCTTTCATGCCTGCACCAGATCTCTGAGCATTTTGAATTAGTGCCAATCTCCTCTCTTTTCCTGTAACCTTGTGCATTATTTCTAATTAAATCATCTAATGCCTTCTTAAATGTCTTAATTGTGTTGGTTCCACCATACTCTCAGGCAGTGCATACCAGATCCAAACTACTTGCTGTGTGAAATTTTTTTTCTCAGCTCACTTTGGCTTAACATTGTAAAGCAGTGGTCCCGACCTGAAACGTCAGCTTTCCTGCTCCTCTGATGCTGCCTGGCCTGCTGTGTTCCTCCTGCTCCACACTGTTATATCCGCCTTCTAGCTTTTGATCTTTTTAAGATCAAGAATAGTTTTTCCATATCTATTCTATCCAGACCCTTCATGATTCTGAAAACATCTCAAATCTCCCCTAAACCTTCTCGCCAAGGAAAAGAGTACAATTTCTGCAACCTTTCCTCATGTATGAAGTTTCTCATCCCTGGAACCATTCTCGTAAGTCTCTTATCCGCTTTCTCCAATGCATTCACATCCTTTCTAAAATGTGGTACCCAGAATTGGTACACACTACTCCAGTCCCAATTAACGGAGCCTAGAGTACTGAATGCTTTAACATCTCTACTTGTCTGCCACCCTTAATGACTTATGCATGAAGACACTCGGGTCTTTTTGCTCCTACATGCCCCTTGGAAGAGCACCACATTCTTTGTACCAAAATGTATCATCCCGCACTTCTTCACATCAAATTTCATCTGCCACCATCAGCCCACTCCACCACCTTATTAATGTCTTTTTGAAGTTCTCCCTTGTCCTTCTCTCAGATTTTGTGCAGTCTGCAAACTTGTCCCTTACACACCAGGATCTAGATAATTATATACAACAGGAAAAGCAAGCATCCGAAGACTGATTGGCAAACTCCACTAAAAGTTTCCTCCAGCCTGAAAAATTCCTGTGAACCATTACTGTTTTGTATCCCTCAACCAATTTTGTATCCTTGTTGCTATTGTCCCTTTTATTCCATATTCTGTAAAATTTCTCAACCCTGTTGTATGGCGCAGTAGCAAATGCTTTTATGTACACCACATCAAGAGCCTGGCTGTCATCAGCCCTCTGTGACACTGTAGGAAATTCTCCTGAATGTGGTCAATAATACTTGTCTCCCACTGCCCTTTTCATGACCACTATCCCAGTTAAGATCCCCTGTTATAGCTACTGTATAACATTTACACCTTTCTGTAATTTCCTTTCTGTTCTGACATATAGCCAAATAGATCCTTTCCTGAAACATCCCTTCTCCAGTCCTGAAATGTTTTCCTTAACCAAAAATGCCATGCCTATTTCTTATCCTATCTTGTCTGAATACTTCATAACCAGGATATTTAATAACCAGACCTGCCCTATGTGAAGTTTCCATTTGCGTACATGCAGCTCCACAATGTCAGGTTTATTGCATTGAGATGTTAGTGCAATCATTTGAATGTGAGGCTTTTTATTGTTGCCTTTTTAAATTTATGTAATTGTGGTTAGATTTGTCATTTGTTACTATGTCAGAAGATTGTTTCAATGTCACCTCTTTTCTGTGCAACTGAGTTGGTAGGAATGACTAGTTTAACTTCTTGACACAGAAGTGACATTTGATGTTTGACCTAACAAGATCGTATTGTAGAATTCACTTGCTTTGGCTTTTAAAGTTCTGTTTATGTTTGAGTTGAATTTTAGAGCCATTCACAACTTGAAATCGCATCCAGATTTATTTTTTTGCAGGGCTTCTGGATCTGGCTACTTCTTACTGTGAAACCAAAGTGAAGAAACTATGCCAAGAGATCATTAAAAGGGGAATTACTGTGGAGAATGCTTTCCTATTGCTGTCAGCAGCAGTCCGTTATGATGCAAAGGTTAAAACTCATGAATTCCTTCCTGATTTAAACTGATATTACGATTGTTAGAACAGCTTTCTCTCGATGACTGTGAAACTATGAGCTCTTAATTTGCACCAGGGTTGTTTAAATGTCCAGTAAACAGCAGATTCTGTGATGTTTATCCACTCCTCTTTTAGCCACTCCCTCCTCTCCCCCCCCCCCCCC